AATCTTGCAGGTTATTAACGATAGATTTGGCATTGTTGAGGGCCTCATGACCACTGTGCATTCCATTACTGGTGAGTGGTTGCTTACATAGTGAGTTACATATTGTTATTGGTCCAAATGAAATGGGAGTTGGTTCTAATTTGATGTATGCCAATATGTGGTCCAGCCACTCAGAAGACTGTTGATGGTCCATCAAAGAAGGACTGGAGAGGTGGAAGAGCTGCTTCATTCAACATCATTCCCAGCAGCACTGGTGCTGCCAAGGTATATAACACATTACAGACTGTCATTCTCATTAGATGTGATTAAGGGTTTGCTATTATACATTGTGTCATTGGTTTTATATCAGTATTGTCCAATAGCTTGACTTTGGCCATATTGTTCACATTTTCATTGCTGACTATGTTTGGGATCAGAGAGCCAAGTTCTTAAGACTTAAATACTCCATAAACATTTTAGTCCAAATCTCTTTGCTGCATAGTTTTGAGCTTGATCTTTTTCACAAACTCGATGTAATTTTTTTTTTTTTCAAATAGGCTGTTGGTAAAGTTCTGCCAGCCCTGAATGGAAAGTTGACTGGAATGTCCATCCGAGTTCCAACTGTGGATGTTTCAGTGGTGGACGTAACTGTAAGGCTTGAGAAGGCGGCCACCTATGATGAGATAAAAGCTGCGATTAAGTAAGCTTCTTTGTGATTTTATGGGCATGATTGGGTAGTCTCTCATTGTTTAAGTTATTACTGACCAGCAGTCACTGGAAATGTTCCTTTTCTTGATGAATTTTTTTCAGTTTACTACCACCTTTGATGAGCAGTGTAATGTTCCCCGTGGTTATCGTTTGATTTTCATTCTGTTCCTTGGTTGTTCCCAGGGAGGAGTCAGAGGGCAAACTCAAAGGTATCTTAGGGTACACTGAGGATGATGTGGTCTCCACCGATTTTGTGGGTGACAACAGGTGATGATTGCACACAGAAATTTTTGTTTGCCTAGATTGCTTAACAATTGCAGGCACGGAACCAAAGAAATCTATGTAATATGTATGTGTTTGTGGTTCACTTGATGTAGGTCAAGCATCTTTGATGCTAAGGCTGGGATTGCTCTGAATGGAAACTTTGTGAAACTGGTTGCGTGGTATGACAATGAATGGGGTTATAGGTAATGTGAACTTGTCTTTGTATATTGTTGTCACTTTTAATTTGCTTGGTGTGAACCTCTCTTACCCCGATGGATCATATCTGTATGTGATCACAGGCTTTCACATCTTCAACGATATATTGTTGACTGACTTCTTTTCTTGGTTTCTGCAGCTCCCGTGTGATTGACTTGATCGTCCACATTGCTTCTGTAAAAGCTTGAAGCTTTCGGCTGTGATACAAGGCTCTATGTTGGTTCTGGTTGAGTCCTAGGGTTTTAGTTTTCTTGCGTTTTGAGGGTTGTAGTTTGTTAGGACTAAATGCCTCGAGTCTGAAGCTGGGTTGATTTCCCCTCTTCCTTGCAAAGGTACCAGGAAACTAATTGTTTTTGTTTTTGAACTGATGGAGCCTTGTAGAGTTGGTTTTGTTTTTTGTTGATGTGATTGTTTTGAGAATCGGAGGATCTGTAATTCGGCTGTGTGTGTGTTTTCCTTTATGCACATCAAATATGATCCTTTCTTTAATTATCAGTTTAGTGTTTGGCCTTTATTTCCCATGGCCTCCTAGGCCTATCTATATTGAGACATTCTGTGAATTTTTTTCGAGCAAGACCATCTATTTTTAGTTTGTTGTGAACAAAAATGGTGGGTCAATGACTAAAAAGGGCTGGTTATATTATGTGGGAGAAAATGGATTATGCCCCGACATAGTTCAAGACATCTGTGAAGTGGGGACTCCAGATCTTGAGAGCACCCTGGAGTTTCTTGCCTTTTCAAGCTGAAAATTCACTGGATTTGGTCCATATGAAGCACAATACTAGTTACTTGTTCATTGGGCTTATTTATGTCATCATAATGCAACAAGGATACTATTGAGTGAATGAATGACCAGAACTACTATTGATTAGATGCCACTGTCCATTCATGTTCCTGGCTGCATTGGCCTCTAAACGAGTGAGGCTTCAAATTTTTGGTCATCTTCTCCATTTTTCACCCACCATCTACAATAATGGGATCTTTTGCACTGACTTATTTATTGGGAAAACAAATTATTTTTGATGTGCTTAAACTCTGTTTAAATAATAATGCTTTTTATAAGTAGTNCTGACTTATTTATTGGGAAAACAAATTATTTTTGATGTGCTTAAACTCTGTTTAAATAATAATGCTTTTTATAAGTAGTTTAAGGACATGATTACTTAATGTTTATTGGAAAATTTGGAGGCCGATTCCTCTATATGGACTTAAGTCCGTCAATGAAACATATTTGTTATGAAGTCTATTTTTTGTCAATTTTATCATACTATCCCTTTCCTTTAGTAGTGAAATAAAACTAAAAATTAAAAACTCCTAAATCTTCGGAGTTTGACTAACATTAAAATATTTTCTCTCTTATATCTATCTATATCCATATATAGGTTAAGAGTTTGACTAACATTAAAATTTTTCCTCTCTTATATAT